TTAATAACTTTACAACTCCTGTTTGATATGACAATTTGGAAGTTCCAAGTCTAAAACCTGAAAACTGGGTGTCACAGTTGTTTTCATGTGAGTAGACATCAAAAAAAAAGGGAGCAAAATCTTGCTATGAATTTATGGTAATAATGCACTACAAAAAGAAAAAAGTTGCCATCACTTTATATTTTCACCAAGATAAAGTACTATATTATTCTATGAATAATTTTAAAACAGAATTTAGATAAAATCTTGTTCTCTTGGAGGAAATCTAACAGTCCAGGATCTGGACCACAAAAGGGGACAGGGATGGCCTTTAGGACAACACAGATAATGGGATCATTGACCTGTCAGGCTACTGAAATTTTTTAAAAAATTAAATTAAAAAATAAATCACAAGAGCTGAAAAATCTATACTAAATATTTGCTTTTTCCTAATCTGCCTGAAGATGAGCATTTTAAATTCATGCCAAGATAATATATCACTTTATAACCTCATTGCTTTCCCAAGTAAAAAACAGCTTATAGGGAAATTCCCTTTTATTGAAAGGCAATTGATATTAATGTCATTTTCAAAAGCAGTTTTTATTCCAGGTCTGCTCTTTCAAGCTTTAATTTTATTTATTGCAGCTGGGACTCTCTAAAGAAGAGTTCTTCTTTAGCATTAATTTTCATAACTTCTTATAAGAGTAAGAAATGTTCAAATAATGTCCAAAATTAGACTAAAGGAAGCTGGGGGTGAATTGGGAAAAGGAATTCAGATTTTCTTCATATTTACATGAGAAGTACACATAAACTACCTGAACATTTTGATTCAGGAACATATCTAGCACATACCTGGTCCTAAGAACAAGCCATTGTCTTGTTGATCCAAAATTCATACCTGAAGCTGTAGGATTTTGATAAATAACATTGGAATTAGCCACATGCTGGTAAGCTCTTTGCTGTTAGAGCCTGGTCAGTGATACTCAGCCCTTGTAATAGATAAACCTGACCAAGCACTCAGCCAATGAACCTTGCATTGTGTCACCTTGAACTGTGCACCCAGTCAGGGTGTTCACACACTGATATGAGTAGGATATTAATGAGCAAATTGAAGGTAGCTCCATAAATCAGTGTAAATATCCTTGCATAACGTGGGAAACTGCTAAGTTTTGTGACATCACATTGGACATTGAGTAGGAGAGGTTTGGGAGGTGGTCCTTTATTAATATAAACTCTCATTACTGCATTGACTACATCAACTGAGATACTAGGAGCATTCTGAAGAGCTCTTTTTCCATAGATGTGTTGCTTGATCTAAGCATGATCCTGTAAGAATTAGAATGTTTCAGCTTTGGGTCATAAGTGTACTGAAGAGTTTTTCAGTGGTTAAAGCTATGAAATGTACTAATACTCACCTACATTTCCTATTTCAAATGCTGGGATCACTCTACTGGGATTACTTAAGGGTTATTTTGGATGGTTTTGAAGAAATTCTATACAGAAGGAAAAAAAAAAAGATCAGGATACACACTTCTCATAATTCTGCTCCACAGTATTATGCTGAAGAAACATAGGCTCTTTCTGTTCAGTTTAAAGAAAGTTCATTTTATTTAATTAGCTGTTCTCCCAGTTTACTTGAGTGTAATGCTGTGTGTGTGACTTTTCACACCAGACTACACTTGCAACTTCGTAGGTCAGATATAATTTTTAATTATATTACAGGTAAAAGACTGAGTTCAGAGCCTCCTTTAGGGGGAATACAGTCTGTTTCCAAAGTTGGGAACAGATGTAATTTTAGGAATGAACTGCATTTTGCACTGATTTGCATCCCTTCTGATCCACCGAGTTCAATGGGGCCACAGGGATCAGAAGAAAAGCAGTATTTGGCCTACCATTTTGGCTGTTCCAGTACAACTTTCTTTTGTGTCCTCTAGATAAGAACTGCCAAACCTCAGGGAAAATGTTGTCCCACTCCCTGTAAAATAGGAGGGTCAATGGAGGAAAATAGTTGCATTAGAGAAACACACAAGTGACATTAAGGCTACCTAGTTTGATGTTTCCAATCCTTTTTCTTTTCCTCTGCAAACAATGACAGTTTCAAAAGGATCTGAAGCAATACTCTTAACAAATAATACACTAGTCTGTCATACGGTTAATATTAACGTCTCTCTATTCAAACATGCTGAAAACTGAATAGAACAGTTAACATATAACAGTCACACATCCTTTGCTGAGTACAAGATCGCATCTCTAACATGAACTGAAGATATATATCCTCACCATTTCAGATCTTCATCTGTCATTCAGTCAAACATTTCATTCTCTTAAATACATTGCTCTTCCCCTCTTTCTGGGTCTTTCAGGGGTGCTGAGTGAACACATTCTCTCCATAAAGGCATTGCTTATGGTATGATTCTTTCTTCAACAGAAATCTTGCTGTGTGTTTCCAATGTTATAAAGGTGAATTTGCAGTTTGGGAGGATTTTGGGGAGAGAAGGCCCTGCCTCCAGACTGAACAGATTCAATTTTGAAACATCTATTTGGCCAGGATTCTGGGCTTTATTAGACTCTAAAGATACCTTCTCTTTATTAAATTAATTTATGAAATTAATTAATCATGATTGCACTTCACAAATTATTGATTTAGAGCTTTATGTAGTAGCCAGTGTTTATATTACAGGTTTGTTCATGGGTCTTATGGGCAGAGGCAAGGTCCCCTTGCTCACGTTCTGAGCTGGTGGGACGTAAATGCTGTTGACAGGAAAGTCACATAACTGTCACATAACTGTAGGGATGTGAACCTGTGTCCCATCTAATACACCTGGTCTTTCAGAGGGTTATTTGGTGTGGGCTTGGGGCCCTACCCACCCAAGTCAGCTCAGCACATGCACAGGGAGATTATGCCCAGCCACAACATAGTGCAGAAACATGTCAGGCTGAAACCACTCCTCACAGTGATCCCACCCTACCTCTACCACAAAAGCTTTGTCTCTTTGAGAAGGCAGTCTGAACAAGGCCTGCTGCATTTTGTGGCACAAAATATATTGCCCTCAAATATATTTTTATTGAAAACACACAGCAGAGATTACAGCCATAGAAAGTTCTGTAAACAAGACAATTTCATCAACTTTATCTTAAAAAAAAAAATCTCAAACCAATACCACAGAAGAAACCCAAAATACGACTTGCTGAATTAAGAGTGTGAATAGCAATTTTTTTCTACTGCCCATAAAAAAAAAAATAATCTCAAACCAATACCACAGAAGAAACCCAAAATACGACTTGCTGAATTAAGAGTGTGAATAGCAATTTTTTTCTACTGCCCTAAGACAAAAAAATCACATACACCTTCAGCATTTATTTTCCAAATTTACTTGACAGAGGTTAAAATATTGCTTTATTCTGACTCAACATACAACAGCACTGTGTGACTGATTGTGCTATTTTGGGAAGTCTCAACTTGTGAACTGGAAAATCTGGGGCACATTAATAAATTTCACAATTAATTTGCTGCAAAGGTATATTTTAATACAATCTGTATATACTGTAATTATTTTTTTTTTAATCAATCTTCTGACATTAATGAGGGAAGGCTATTTTCCAATTATTTATTATAGTTAATTTTCTTTTTCCCCATGAATAAGTAGAATTGTAATACTAATAAATACAGTAACGTATGTGTCACTGCACCAAATTCATTGCATTATTGGCATATTGTATTACAGTTTATGGGGGAAAAGGGACTCAAAAGAAAGAAAATGCAAAAAATGCTCATAATGCGACTGGGTTATGGCAACCAGGAAATGACTTTTCTTCTCTAAGGCCTTGATCCCCTGCAGAGAGTAATTCGATGGAAGCCATCTGCTCTTCTATACCCCTGTTAGAATCAGATCTGTGCATACTTGTGGGTCTGCTCATACTGAATCAACTGCAGGGTTGAAGCTTTTAAGTTCTCAAGCCTAAGCTATAATTAACTAAAGTGACTGAAGAACTGAAAGCGGGAATAAATTAGGGCAGCATGGACACTTACCGGCTGGATTTTGATCATATTGGATCTCCCTGACTCTTCTCTGAACAAACCATAATAAAAAAAAAAGTTAAATAAAAATACACACATACTCAGAAGTGCTCCTTGAGAGCCTACAAATTCCTTCAAAGTATAATGGTTTAGAAATGTTGAAGGGTTGGTAACAAAGAGAGGAATTTAGGTTCCCACTCAAAAAAATCCAAACCAAAATCCAAAACTAAATCTGTAGTAATACATCTTTTTGCACTTTCTCTTGTTCTTCTTCACTATCCACCAAGGCAGCTCTGATAGGCAAAGCTCAGAAGATGGAGCAGCTGTGGGCTCCTGATCACTGCCTCTCTACAGGCCACAACCCCAACTCCACACTTGGCCAAACCCAAGGCTCCTTAATGTTTCCAGTGGCTTTCTTGGGATGACTGACACATTAAACTAAGATTGAAAGTTAAGTATCTGGCTCAGTTTAGGGATTCATTGCCATTCCACAGTAGGTACCAGACCTCAGAAGTAGATGTCTATATGTCCACTTCCACAGTATGAACCTGGAGAGGGGACTGGGTCTGTGCTGGGGTGATGGGACTTACTCTCCAGGGTCTGAATCCCTGGCCAACAGCTCACTACAGCACTTCACTGAAACCAGGAATGAATCCAAGAATGGCTTGGCCTTTACTGAAAAAACATTTTAAAAAAATGCACAGCCTAAGCCTTTGGGCAGCCGAACAGGACCATGGTAAAACGTTCTGTAACTGAAACTATATGTGAAATCCTGCCTAGAAAGCACCTGATGTACACTTCATCCCTCCTGGAACTTTTCCCTTAAAAAAATATTTTGTTAAAAAACACTATGATATGAGGGCGATTGACTATTTGGTTTCTTCTAAGTAGATGCTCTTAAATTAATGCATATAAATAATTTGTATTTAATCTCCTCCCTTCCTGTTTAGCAAAGCATCAAATGCACAGATCTCATTTCCCCTCCCACAACCCCCACACAAAGTCACTTGGCCAATACCGAGTCTCTTGGCGTTTCACTTTTTAAGACAAATGGTGCCTCTCGGTCTGACTTGGCCACGGGGCTCAGGGGCAGAAGGGCCGTGTTCTCGCTCGCGCTGCTGCTGCTGCCGCCGCGCTCACCAGCTCATAGTCCTCCACCCTCCTTGCGTCCGTCAGGATCCGAATCTGCTCCTGCACAGTTTCTAGCAATATTTTCACTTCATGTTGTTCTGCTATAAGACAATTACTGACTGGGGAACTCACGTTGACAAGTTCAGCTGAATAGGAGTTTTTGCACCATTTGATGCCCGTCACTTCAGAAACATTTTGCATTTGCATGCAGGCTTCGTCCAAGCCCACAGACGGGATGATGGGAACAGAGTTGGCCCTTGAAGATGAATAGCTGACCAAGTCCTTCTGATCCATGTTATTAAAATAAGGGGTTTTCTCTCTTGAAGGCAGTTGCATATTTATTGAAGTATTCTGAGGAGTTTTTAAACCACTGGATGAATACCTGAAAAAAGTAAAAAGACGTTTTTGTTGTACATCAAGCAGTGAGATGCAACTGGCAGCAGGAACACTGTATGAAATTCAGTGAACTGTGCTGAACAGATACATGTCATTTTTCTCTCACACTGGGAGCACCTGGTGATAGTATAGCCCTAGGGAAAACAGCAGACTCTGGAGACCTGGTTTGGATTCTCAGATCTGCCAGAGGCAAATCACTGCTTCTCCCTTGGCCTCATTATGCCCACCAGTATATGAGAATAATGACAATTCTTTTTTAAAAGCTTTCAGAAGTTATGTTGTACTACAATTAATTTTGTTTGAAATTAAATTTGAAATTCCATTCCTGTGTTCCTAACTGGGGAAATGGATTGATGCTTTCTTCAACATCAGAACTCTCAATGTCAAATGGTTATTTTAGAAAAACACTTAAAAAAGGTGCAGAAAAAAAGAACCTCAATCAAATGGTTGTGTACACAATGGTTGTGTACACAATGGTTGTGTAGTCTTTATTTACATAGAAATGGCTGTCTGTGCTCCTCTTCAAAAACAAAGAGGATCTAAGTGCAGTATGCCTCTGAAAAACGTATTTTTCAATTGTGCATACTCCTAATATTGGCCTGATTTGTCTTCTTAGATCTCATCTAGAAATAGAGCTCATATGTTGGGCTTGAGTGTTTAAAAAATTATTCTTTTATTCTCCATTTATATTAATCATAGAATGATTTTATTTACTTTGAGGCAACTTTGGTGAATTTTTAACCAACATTTCCATTTTGTTTCAAAGCCAAATTAATTATTCTGTTCAGAAGGTATTTATACTTACAGGCACTACTTAAGAAACTGAAAGTGAGAGTATACTAAATATTAAATACAGGAAACAATGAAAAAAAAAATGTATTTCCCATCTGAGAAGTAGTTTACGAAATCTGGTGCCTCAAGAGTTACTGTATCTACTAGTCATGATTGCCAAAGACAATAGACATCACCTTAGTACTGGAACATACTTATTTTTAGTCAACTTTGTGATCATATCATGATTTAATAAGGCAAGCTCATGGTGAAGTCTAATATGTTTTATCCATGGATGAGGAAAGCAACATTTAGATCTGGTGTGGAAGCAGATACTTTGAGCTCTGAAGGCTGTTTTTCTGAAAGCTGTTAAGCCTTCTACTCATATGTGCCCCGCTGCTTCTGGCATTAGCAGAAAGAGAACTAAGGAAAAGAAAGTGAAATGCATGAAACAGCCATACTCCAATATTAGCCTACAATATTAATTAACTGGAAAGGCTTCCTTTGGCCTTATCCTCCTGATGAGCTGTCAAACAGGAGACAGAGGAGGAGATAACTTGAGGCTCATTACCAGCAGAGTGCTGCTGTCTTGTAATTAACTTGTCTATGGCAGCACGGTATTTGTGCAACTGCTTGACACGTTCACCTGGACACGAGCACACATGCAGTTCTTTGCAGCCCCTGTACAAAAACTCTCCAGACATCCCTAAAAGACCAGAAAACGCAGCTGGGAGCTCTGTGATAAGGAGGAGGTGGTATGATCTTTGCTGCTATGTGATGGAAAGAGATACTGCTTTGGGAAGCAGGACCTAGGGGAATAATATAACAAGAGGCCTTTTTTTTTGATACGCAATAGAAGTTCTTATACATGCTTTACTGGTGCATTAATGTTTTACATCTGAGCCAGCTAAGGCTCAGCTTTTGGTTAACTGCGTTTGCACTATGCTTAGACATGCTTGTAGCCACTTAGGGAGGGCCTTAGAACAGTTTTCAAGAATCAGGAAGAATGAAACACTGGTCAGGGATATTATTCCCAAGGGAGGACAATTAAGAAAAAACAAAAACGAAAACAAAACAGTGCAGACCTTTGGGTTGTGCCCATTCTTGTTTCCTTTGCTTATTATATAATTGTTCAAACGACTATAGCTGGAGAGATCGCATCAGTTGCATTATTCCCTTTTTTGGTAATTCAGGCCCTAAATATATTCTGGGCTGCACCCTGAAAACAAAGGGAGTGAATGTTTTTAATGAATTTCACATGCAATGGATGCATTATATGGATGATATATAAGCAAAAACAAGAAAAGACTGAATTAAAATGGGTTTGGTGAGAAAACAGTAGCATTTGCCAATTCCATAATAAAGATTTAATTGTTTTTGGCATTTTGAAAATTGGCAGCAACAATAGCATGTAACACAATGCCTGGCATATTTCCATAATATTTTTGAAGTACAGATAGACACAGCAATTTTATGTCACAGTTAAATGTTTCTGCCCTATCCTCACAGGCTTTCAAAGGAGGACTACGGATGAATTAAAGCACATACACTGTCTGCAACAGTCAAGGTATAAAACTAGTAGGGATATTACATCTGAACTGTATGAGATGCAGTTTTTGGTTAATTACAAACAGATCCATGCTTCTACTTGTGACACCAGGCTGCCGCTGTTTTCAATAGACTGAAATTTAGCTCTATAATTCCAGAATCTTTTTTTCCTATAATTAACTTTCCTAGAACTATAGTTCCTCCTATGAAACAGATCTGGTTTTTAATCTGAAAAATTGTTTTGTCTGAATAAATTCATTCACATGCATGTATTTCAAAGTGCAGTTCCTTTCACCCTACTCCTAAAAACAAGGAAAAAAAAGAAACTCATTTATAAATATGCAACAGTAATTTTGATATACAGTGTATAAGAGTCTAAATTAAAGAATGAAACTGAAGGAAGCATAATAATTTTACTGTCCCCTTAAAATAGATATTAAAAGGAGACAGGAACGGAATTTGAAACACAAGATGTTTTTTAATTATCATGGTACCAATAGCTTCACTATAAGCCCTGTTACTGTAGCTGCTCAGTACAGAGCCTGATGACAAGGTCCACAAAGATGAATGGGAAACATCCCAGTGGTAGTACCAGGCTTTGGTTCAGCCTTGTGAGCACATATACCTATACATACACACCCCATTTTCCACCTGTATATATAACACATTGGGTCTGTCCACACAAACACATTTATATCTGTATATACACACATTCACAGGCTACAAGACACTAGTGCTAACACTTCACAGCCTGTAACACAAACAGCTGCCACTGAAAGCGTATGATCAAACTGCTGTCCACTTAACTGCATGGAAACTCGTGACTTCCTCAAGGACTTAAATTGGTCTCTGAGATGTGACCGGTGTGGAGATGGTTTGTTTTCTTAAAGCCTCTCATTTCAAGCAGGTTTTTCTGCTCCTTCAAGTAGTATAGTCATGAAATAACTGTTAATAGCTGTATTTGACTCCAGACTCTGAAAATATTAGATCCTGATGCAAATAATGAGAAATTGTGTTTCTTGAAGGCAGCAGAAGCTTCCTTTGTGGTGCGGGATGGGAAGAGGAGCACTTTTAAAGGACTGGACAAAACCTGATCAGCTAAATTAGCCTCTTTTCTATCAAATATAAACATACAAAAATCTGACTAAACTTCAGGCAGAGCTGCTGATGGATGAAATTTAGAGGACTCACAGAATTAGGGAGATAAACCACTTTGATTTGTGCATCCTTTTCGGGAAATATGGAGGTGAAAAGGGAGAAGAAAGGAAGGAGAGTAGCTTCTGTAGGGAACGGGAAGATTTTAATTGGCTGGAAAGCTAATAAGAATAGCAAAGATACGAAACTAGCAAATATTTAGATGGTAAAAAGCCATCTAACTTTGGGGGAACCTCATTCTAATAAAACAAGATCAAAGAATTGCTTTTGTTTTCATGCCTAACCATTGACATTTAAATCATTCATTTCCATGGTACTAGTTGAAGACTTTTGTACCATATTTGTGATCTATAGAGACTGCTGTGACTGCCTGTCACATCACCTGCTAATGCATTCAGAGAGCTTGTTCAGAGAAAGGTCCCATCATGAAAGTCAGTATCAGGGAGGTGTAGCTCTACAGACATCCCTAGAGCTCCAAATATCGATGAAATGCTTTAGTGGACTGAGGCCAGAAGGGGTCACAGTCTGGTCCAAATATCAACTTTTTGCAGAACTGCAAATTTAAAACATAGGCCAGTACAAGATGATGCCTGTAGTAACACACACTTATTTCCTAGAAAGCAGTAAACAGAACTACCTGACAAGGCAGCTTTGCTGGGTCCAACCTCCCTTCTCCAGCTAGGAAGAGGCTGCAGCATTCTGCAGAGCCCCTGTGGCTTGCACTGCCTTGCCAAGGGAAGTCTGTTAGCCTGCCCCTTTCAGAAAGGGGCATTCGGCATCACAACTGTCATAAGGAATTATGCACACATTATCATGCAAATGAACAATAATATTTTTGTTGCAAGAAGTAACAAACAACTTTTTCATTAGAAGAAGCAATAGTAATAATGAAAGGAGTATGAGACAAATTAGTACTTTTTAAAAAGAAGTCACCACACCCCCAAACTTTTTGCTGCTTTGCTTTCTCCCTTCTTCAGCAAGCCCTGGTTTTGGTCTGTCATTCCTAATTACTTTGGCAAACTTTGTTAGGTAGATTCAGCTACAAAACATGTAGTGACCCCAGTTCCCCCCTCACAGAGTATCCCAGACTGGGTGATCACGGTGCAGGTTGGAAAGCATGGCAAGGGAGGCATGGGCGACCGTGTACCTGCACATATGCCCACATGTGCAACGACCCTTATTCTCAGGCAGCACTTGTGGTTGTCATTTCCCAGGAGGTCACAGTAGATAGTGACTCTAACTCCTTTCTTCCTTCAGGAAAATTAAACATGTAAGGTGACCTCAGTTCTGCACGTTATACAGCCAGTTCCAATACCAAAACACACAGCTGCCTTCTCGCAGTGTAACTGTTCACTGCTCTGTATCTAGCTGTGATTTCCACCTGTCCAAATGAAACTGGTGTCGTTCTATACTACTTCAGATATTGTTCCTAGTTTTACATATAACATGTTTTTGGTGATTCTGGGGACTTTGAAAATCTACAGGGATATGTAAATATTATGCAAAATATCTCAACAATTGCAAAAGACTTCAAAGGCAGCTGTAGGTGCTCAGGAGCCCTTCTAAATTCAAACCTTGTGTACAGAGCTGAAGCTCAAATTCAATGCTCTAATAAGCTGAATTTAAAAAGGAAGAATATTGGATTGTTTGTGGATTTTCAGAGACAAACCCATGTGAAGTGATCAGTCTTCAATTTACAGCAAACAAATACACATAAATTTATTTAAATAAACATGGAAGTTGGACTTCTGAATTATTTTATCTTGTTGGCCCAGTGCTGATGGAAGAAAAAATGCTATGCAAAAGTTACTAGAACTGCACATCACAGCACCACTAGGAAAAGCATCACTTATAAAGAGTAACATTGTCAGTCACTTACAGTTTGTTCTGATCACTCCATCTACAGCCTTTGAAAGGCTTAAAAGGAGCAGCCAGCCAAATAAAAACATATTACCTTCAAAGAGCCAGTATGCTGAAAACATTCTTCTGCTTTCAGTACTATAAATTCTGGATCCACAGTACACTACAACAAAGTTGGAAGGACTGTAATGGCAAAGCATATTAACCATGTAACAGCAGCTACTCACGAACTGGCTCACTTCAGTTCTGTTATTACTTACCCATGACAAGGTATTGTGTCCTGGTCTGTGATCCTTGACTCTTCTAGCTGTTGATACGCTGGTCCTGTAATTCCATTGAACCTACCCCGAGGTAAGGGAGGAGTCCTCCGAAAGGCATTTCTATGTAGCATCCCATTTTTTTGTCCTGGGCTGCAGCATGAAGAGAGACTTCTAGGAACAACACCAAAAGTACAGTAAAAATTATCACAACAAATGTGCAAACTGCAAAGTAAAGATTCAGGATTAATAAGGCACAGATTACTGTTTCTATAAACTTTGCTGTGATGATCTAGGACATCAGTTGAAGTTACCTGTGGAAACACAGTATTGTGACCCATAATTAGCTGCCAATTATGCCACATTTAATACACCATCTCTCTTCTAGGAATGAAAAAAAAATTGCCTGGTATATTAAGAGGTTTTTTGTACTTGAAGAAGGATGCTTCATTTTTTTTCTATGCCGCATTATCATAATCCTATAAAAAGTTGACTCTTCAGACAGTATCAATAAACTGCACAGCTCCATCGTACCTACAGCTCAGCTTAAAACCTTAGATTTAGAGCCCACTGGATCATCTATCAGCTCACAGGGTCCTGCTTCCTCATACAACGTTAAATTGGGAAAAAATATAAATTAAGAGTGTAAGTGAAGCTCCTGAACTGCAGCTTGAAGAAATACAAGTTTTGTCCACATTGAACAAGATTTTTTCTCTGTACTGTTTTTATTCTTGTTTCTTATATGCATTGATTGCTTTCTTCTTTAGACATAAATACCGTGTTGTTTCTTCATACGATACCCTACGAACTCGAATATGATAAAAACAAGTGGAAAATTGCTTTTGTAAACAAGATTTTTGTACTGATTTGGAAGGGGGATGGATTTTTTCAATTTCATGCAAGAATTAAAAGATATCTAGAACCCATAGTTTTGGTATTAGCTGTAAATTCCGCTGTTGCTAATGCAAAAATAAGGGAACACAGAATTAATGCAACACATAACTTATTTCTACCATTAACAGGTCACAATACTGCACAATGTGACTGGCTATTTATTTTCCAGCTACTCCTAGTTCTCTTGACTCTTATTTCTCCTGGGTCTCAGAAATGAATATGTATTACCTAATATTTGTCACATCCTTAATGATGTTTTAATATAAGTTTTGTAGATGCATTTTAATAATAATTATTTTTAGTTATGTAAATAATTTCAAGTTCTGATACAACTTAGCTATGCAAAGACTTCTGATAAGTTTGCTTTTCTTTTTCTATTATAATGTCACTTTAAAGTTATCTGCATTTTGTACCTAATGGGAACTTCATTTACAGTTAGGGCCACATCTACTCCCAAAGCAATTCTTGCTTGGGCAACATATGTTGAACAAATTCTCTTGGAGTTCACATTTCCATTAAAACTGACCTTTTATGCCCGAAGTCAAAACATAAGAAAGAAATTCAACAGTCTCCATCCCACTGCTCAGGCTAGCAGTGTTAAATCACAATCTCTGCTCTGTTATCTTCCACACTTTTACTTTCCTGATGCTTTTTAATTGAAAAGATCAATAAGCCATAGCAATAGCACTCCCTCAAGGATTTCTGATGCTCCTTAAAGAAATGTTTCCTTAGTTATTAAGGAGGCTGTGAAAAAAACTTGTTTAAAAAACTGAAGTACTGGCCTGTCAATTCTGAAGGGTGAGTTCAAATTGTGAGTTACAGTTCATAGTCTGTAAAATAACACTGCCACATCACAAAACAATTGAGAATTTCTGCTTGGTAGAGTCTGAGATTATTACAGCAGGGGGTCTTAAAAGATGCAGTTGAATGAATAATTTGTAATGAATAATTAATTTCAGAGCTTTGCATTTATTGTGGTATATTCATAAATATTCCAGAAAAGTCAAAAAACTGATTAACTTAACAGACTTTAGACTGATTGCAAATATTTGAGACTAAAAAGACATTGGGAAATTGGGGTTGGTTTGATGCCCTTGCTCATCTCCTTGCTGGGTGAGAGTACATGGTCTCCCATCTGATAATATGCACATTCACAAAACAGTCACAAAAGCTCTGCATTTGTAACAGATGTAATTGCCACACATACAGGTGCACCTGAGAGAATTGGTATAAACTGGAGCAAAGATGCACAAAAAGCCCTATCTGCATGACCTCCAACCTGCACTGAAACAGAGGATACAGGCTGCGGAATGTGCGTGGACTGGTTAGACTGAGGGGATCTGGCACGTGCCAACATCTTCCTGCAATCACAGCAGCTCCAGCACCAACAGAGCTTAAGTAATGGATTTGTTGGTAATGTGAGGCTCTTCTGCTTTCAGTATTGCTGACAGAAAAACAGATGGGGAAAATGAACAGAAATGATTTGTGGTCACAGCCATTCACTAAGAAGGACCAGGAAACAGTATCACAGGGTGAGGCTGAAGCTGCAGGATAACACATCAAAGACAAGATAGTAATAATTTTTGTTGAAAGTGGAATAAAGTTTTTCCTTTTTCACAAATGGCTACTCTTGCTCTCAAAATGTTAACACAGACCCTCTCAGGCTTCAGTTATGTTGCTCACATGAAGTGTGCCTTTCTGGGAAGCAATGCCTATTGGCTTTCTTAAGGGAATTTACCCTCCTCTAGCCAACATTATGGTTTCTTCCTCCCTGTACTCCAGTCTAACTGGGTAAAAGAAAGCAACCCATGTAACAGACCTGTTCAACAAAACAGACCAGTAAGGAAAGCTGTAGCAGAGATTCCTTCAAAATCAGTTAATCAGTTACTCCAGAGTAACAAAAATCAGAATATGATTGAACGGTTTCCCAAGCAATGAATAAACTAGGGAGAAATACAGTTTTGGTGAATTAATGGTTTGAAAGCAGTAGTTCAACCATCTCTAAACTTAATTAAGAAGTTGGGATTCACTGGTGTCAGTTGTTTTTGTGCAAATTTTTTTTAGGTTGAGTAACCAAGTGAAAGCAAAGTCTGTCTCAACGGGTGGAGAATTCTCTTTTCAAAGCAGAGGCATAAGCCCCAGGTGCAGTTAGCCATGTTCATGAAGAGAAGACAACTTATACTGAATTTAAAGTAACTCCGGGAATTCTTGTTTATACATCACATTATGAACATGTTCAGAAATAACTTTATCAACAGGACCATGAAAAGCATTAACAAAAGAATGACAATTAAATAATTAAAACTTTAGATGGGATCCTAATCCTTTCCTTCTTCTTCAATAGGCTATAGAAACAGTACTTGTAATCATGGTTGTGTGTGCATATATTTTATTAATTCTTTCCCCTTTACTTTCCATTATTGTGATGCATGAAAAAAAAGATGCGAAGTTGAGAGAGAAAGGGAGGTTCTAAAATAAATTGTTAATACTCTGGCTCTGTACCTGCAAAAACTCTAAACAGAGGCATATTGTATTACATACTACATTACCTACTGATCACAAGATGCAAACATGAGCGTGGAAGACATGGGGTTTGTCCTCGCAAGATGGAAAGAGCAAATACATACCCCAATGACCAAGCTACCTGCTAGATAGACAAATATCTTCTGATGTTCCCTAGGAGCCACATTTTTAGGGTAAGTTATTGACAATCTATTGCTAGCATTTGTTTAGATCAACTATTCAGACTTTCAACCAATTTTCAGTTTTAATAAAAAGGACGCTATACCAGAGAACATAAGCATCTCTCGATAAACACCACGCAACAAGTAACGCTGCATCACAAAGCCCTTTTGTCAGACTGTTAAGAAGAACTAGATGACACACACTGAATGTGTCAGGATGACTAATTACCAAAAAAACTGCTATTCAAGGGGATCACAACTCAATCCCATAATTAACAAAACTCTGATTTATTTCTATCTGTTAGAAATGAAGACAGTTTTCCACTTACTTTCCACACATAATCCCAGACAACTTTTTGAGTGCATTGTGTGCTTCACAGGAAGTTTACTGCTTAAACACATTTTTTACTTTCCAATTGTGACAGTAGTAAGAGTTCTTTCACATATGCAGGCAGATAATGCAAAATTCTTCTACAGTAGTAAGAGTGCATAATAAAGGTAAAACATTCAAGTACTAAGATTCAGTGGGGATTCAAATTTTCAATTCAATATCTGCAGTAATTCTGTGCATGCAGCTGAGGTTGGTAGAGACAGAAAATTGCTATTACCTAGTAATCTGAGTGAAAAAAGCTACGTGGTCTTGACCAGTCAAATTTCACCACCCCCAACTGATTGCCCACCTTGATAATCTTACTGACAGGCCAAAATTTTATTTGATTAAGGAACTGCAAACAGACAGCTCCTGGTTTTAAGAAATAACCAGCCATCACTAGTGCCCTTGAAAACACCAGCAGAGGAAACAGCTCTGGATGTTGAACCAAGTATTTCCATAGCAAGCAGGAACAAAACAATAATATAGTTTAACAACAGCACAAAAGAGAGGACCTGCAGAGCTGTTGTAATTTTTCCAGGCTCATGTCAGGTTTGGAATGAAGGAAAAAATGCACGCCAGTAAAAAATTAATTTTCCTCATTTGGTCACATTATTTAGAAACTAACAGGAACTGAATAAATTAAGAAGCTGTCACATGGTGCATAAATTAAAGGCAACCTGTTAAGTCTTAAATGTTCAAATCTGTTGCATGTTTTAAAAAGCAAGGACTTTCTATAATACATTCTAAGTTATAAAACTACAAAGAGAAAAAGTATTATTTATTCAAAGAAACAGTAAGAAAGGCTGGAAGTTTGCAACCCTGTCTTTCTGCAGCAAATGAGTCATTAACTTCATGAACATTGATAAGGGAAGTCTTGTTTTTAATGGTTTCTCAAACTGCAGTTGTTCCATTCATTGGTGTGTGTCTACAGCTTGGATGGCATCTTGAAACATTTCCTCCAGGACTTCTACAAAACACAGATACAGTTGGTGAAGACTGTTACTGCCTTTTATGTCTGCAGCTAAGAAAATGCTTGGACATCTGCTTAATGAGTTGGTTGAGGCTCTGTTGGAATCGTATCACTCGGCACGTCTCCCAGTCACAGTGCACAATAATCCTGCACACGTACCACCAGTTCAACAACACCCCTTGGATGCCTGCCAAACCTCCCATGAGACAGCTGTTTGCTTACCTATGTTGCTTGCTGGGCTGGGTTCCTCTTTCAGGAGACAAGGCGTCAGGGAAAGACTGATGGCCTGAAAAACTAGACTCCATAACCTTGTCCAGAATAGGCCCAGGATGCCTATCTGTTTTTGAATACTGCAGCACAGAGAACAAAATTAATTAATACACAAAAGGCAAAGTACATTGTTGATGTTGTTCAATCAGAATTTGTATCAGAGTGAGGCAAGAATTCCTCTAATTCATTTTAAAATTAAAATTAGGCATTGCCAGTAATACATTCATTCACTATGGTTTACATAGAGGAAAGCAGAGGTACTCATTACATAATCACCTTATTCACATCAAAATGCTGTAACTGCATTAGTAGCAAAATTACTGACTGATCTGCCCAAAATGACTGGGAACACTGATCTCTTTGAATAAAAGCCTGCTTTTGAGGCTGTCTGTGTAGAGACTGAGATCACAAACCACCTCTCAGAGGATGGTCAGCACCTTCTTAGGTCTTTTGGTCATTTCAGTCAAACATTGCTTTTATCAGCTTGTGTAACCATGAAAACCAAACTGCAACAGTATTTATATCACAAGATAAGTAAGAAAAATACGCAAATCCTCCTTTCTGAAAAAGTCTGAAACTTTTGACTTGGAAGTATCTGTTCTAGTAAGAACAGTGTGAACAGTTCTTGTAAGAGTTGAAGGTACAAGGCAGTCTCTAGGCACAGAGCAAGACACAAAGGTCTGGAAAGCAGACACTGGACATGAACAAGAACAGATTTTTATTTTTTCTTTTTGCTTTATGATTCAACTAGAAGTTAAGAAAAAAAAAAATTGCCTCTAATCCTGCATGGAGTCAGAAAATCGAAGTTTAAAAAACAACAAACACCCTGCATTTCGGCTTGGAAGAAGTATCAATGTTGTGAGTGGTTACTGGCCAGTATCTCAGAGATAACCCACATTTCCACTTAGGTGTGAAAAATACTGAACTTTGCATATTTTTTACATTGCATTTCAATGACCTGCACTGAAACTAATTGATCTACTTTTCTTTTCTACATTTCTTTCTATACTGAGTTTGTGGTTTTTTAGTAATAGATAGCTAGATATTCATGTTATATTTAAAACAAACTGGTACTGTGGAAGTTTGTACATGCTTAAATACTTTAGGAAGTAAACAAAAATTAAAATAAAGGTTAAAAAATGCCAAGCTATGATACAATAGCATAAACATTAGTGGAGAACATAGAGGTTTTTCTGAAGTACAATTCTTCATAATTATTTTGTTGTTTAACAGAAGACCAATAACTCCTCAAAAATACAGAATTACTTTCTGATTTTCACTCATGGTTTTCTACATTTCCCCAGACTTCAGCAAAATCAAGAAGCAATAAAAGATTACTGTCTTAGAAAAATGTCTTCCATGCAATTTTAGTCCATATACTCAGATTTTTATAACCAATTTTTATAGATAGAATAATAGACCTTAACATTTTTCTCCAGTGCTCTCCTCCCTCCTTCTGTTGTGTGAAATACCCATATAAACAGGGCCAAAATCACTGTTTGTGTTTCTTAAGGCAAAGCTGTGAGAGTGACAATAGGCAAAATGTTGCAGCATGGATGAAGTAAACAACTGAAATAATAGTAAGAAACATACTACACGCTCATTTCTTTTAGTTACCGTGATCTCAGTTGTCACTTGCAAATGTTGCAAATAAAAAATACAGATAGAAGCAGAGTTTTTAAGGTACTTGTGTCTGTGAATGTTTAAAACTTTAATAGTTATCTTGCCAGCTGCAGAAATTAAACTGTCCTTGATTTCTGACCTGAGTAAATCAATTTGAGCTATGCAAAGAATGAGTTGGTAATGCCAGCTATTTCTGTCCTTTTTTGTGTTTGTTCATGATACTAAATTGAAAGTCCAAATGGCTTGTAAGACAATGAATATGAAGTGAATCATGACGGGTAGTTATAGACAAGTTGCACCTTTTGCTACATCCACGGTTAAGATGGATGTGGGTTGAAGTGATGTTATACACTTTATTCATCCCAACTGAGGAACACCAGGGGCCCCAGAAGCTGCCCTGGTGCTGCCTAGCAAACCATACTGAAGGTCCAACACACAGCATGACCCAGGCACAGGAGGATATTTTTTTCTCCCTGACAGAACATTCAATGTATGCCATCTTCAGATACACCACTCACCAATCACCCTAACAGCCATAACATTAATTACAGTGAAAATGTGAATCACTGTTTAAATTGAGGGTGTGGACATATAGAGAGTTTGAACAGTTTAACTGAACTTTTCTGGATGTATCACATTATTCATGTTCTAACAGATTTATCCTCCTGCAGCTTAACTGTAAGTGCCACATTCTTTCTCTGAGATCACCTCTGGGGAAAAACATTTTCAGATTTCTGTGAGGAGTTTACAGCAGTGTAAGTTGATACCAATGGAAGAATGGTATAGGATTAGCCCCCAACTGTATCCCCACAAAGCCCAATCTGCTCCTTCCACAGCCCAGTTCTCACCTGGGCTGAGCTCCACCAAGCTCTCCAACTGAGTGAGCCGCTGAATACCAGCCATGATGGGCTGTGAAACACTTTTAAAGGACTATTCCAATAGGTTGAAAGCATCACTGAAAGCTTTTCTGTGTTATTTGGGTTTTTTATGGTTTTATTGTCTTGCTATTCTTGCTTAATTATTTGTGCTTGTTTGAACAACTACCGAGAAACACTGATGCATATGGCTAAATAAATTAAAGAATAACGACAGCATTTAAAAATAAACCATTTTGCAAATTTCGATTTTTCATGGTTTTGTGGAGAAAATAATCTGTTATGTACAATTACTCGAGTCTTGGACAATAAAATTCCACCCCCCAGTAGTTAATTCTAAGCATATCTGCAATGGCAGCCTATGCCAGGAGGCAAGAAATCAGCCTCTGCCATTGACCTACTGCACGACTGTGCATCATTCCCCTGCTCCATGCCTGCTATTATTCTAAAATATAGGATCCATCACTAACAAATGCCACTCAAGTGCTACAGAACAGCTTGACACTGTTGTCCTAGTGTTATGCAAAATAAAACACCCATCCCTCCCCCCAGCTTTTTTTAGCTCTTCCTCCTCAATGATTTTCCCAGAATAGTACAGATACAAAGTCCTGAAATGCATGTGGAAGAGGGGTGATGTGGGGATCCCATTTCAAAAAGAACTGAGAAGGCAGAGAGGTCAGCTTTAAATTACATTCAGAGAGGATGCATCAAGGAGGTAAATAGATTGTGATTTTTCTGGACGGGATGACCTTGCACAAAGTCCATCAGGTGGTATATTTAATGTCCTTACAGCTGTTCCCATATGCTCTGTTTTGTAGTTCTAGACAGAGGACAGCAATTTCAAGTTTGTCTATTCTGGCAGTTCTTCCTCAGTAGTCTGAATGTCTCCAGTGAAGGAGACTCCACAACCTCTCTGGACAGCCTGTTCCAGTGCTCTGTCACTCTCACAGTAAAGTTCTTCCTGATATTCACATGGAACCTGCTATGCTCCAGTTTGCATCCATTGCCCCTTGTCCTATCACTGGTCATCACTGAAAAAAGCTTGGCTCCATCCTCCTAACACTCACCCTTTACATATTTGTAAACATGGATGAGGTTGCCCATCAGTCTCCTTTTCTCCAAGCTAAAGAGGCCTAGCTCCCTCAGCCTTTCCTCATAAGGGAGATGTTCCACTCCCTTAATCATCTTTGTGGCTCTGCGCTGGACTCTTTCAAGCACTTCCCTGTCCTTGAACTGTGGGGCCCAGAACTGGTCACAATATTCCAGATGCAGCCTCACCAAGGCAGAATAGAGGGGGAGGAGAACCTCTCTTGACCTACTAACCACCCCCTTTCTAATGCACCCCAGGATGCCATTGGCCTTCTTGGCCACAAGGGCACATTGCTGGCTCATGGTCATCGTCCTGTCTACCAGGACACCCAGGTCCCTTTCTCCTACACTGCTCTCCAGCAGGTCAGCCCCCAACCTGTACTGGTACCTGCTGCTTTTCTTCCCCAGATGCAAAACTCTACACTTGCCCTTGTTGAATTTCATTAAGTTTTTACTATCACACTGTATCTCAGGAAAAACACACTGTGAGCTTTTAAAAGAGTAAAGTCTATCTGCGGGTCAACATTTATTAATTGTATTAGTATTATAGTGACTAAAATGAATTTATTTCCTACTATCAAAAAAAGGCAACATGACACAAAACCCCACATTTTCCCCCCTCATTGTAAGAATATCAGAAACCTGGAGCTAGTAATTGCAAGCTATTAGAAATCTTTTAGTGAAAGAGAGAAATGAGACATAGATGCAAGACAGTTCTCCTACCTAAAAGGAGCATTTGGGAAAGGGAAAAAACTGGCTTCCGGGATCACATAAACCAAAAAGCCAGACTGCAGAACAAGTCTTCAGAAAACAACCACCTTAATTTTTTTAAGTTTCTATACAGGTTCCTGGACATGAAGAGAACTGAGATTTCTCCCTAAACCCATGGAGTGGGAGCTGCAGAGGGGAATGGTAGATTGATCCCCCCAGCAGTGAGGGGCAGCAAGGTGGCAGCACGGCTGCAGGAGCGCTTGCCTCTCAGCGCCACTGCCCGCTCCTCTTCCCACCTGGCAGATGTGCCCAGGGCAGAGTGCTGGTCTCTGATGGGGAAACAACCCCTCAGCCATTCCTACGAAATACCATTCCAGAGCTCTTTTCTGCTACCTTGCCATACCCTCTGCTCCTTTTCCCCCCCTCCAATCTGCCAAGTTTTGTAAATATTTCATTAACTGGATACATGCATTCCTGCACTAAAATCTTGCTAACAATAGAAACCATTATTCCCCTGCACTGCTATGCTACATCCTGCACAAGGTCATTCTGTTTCTCTTGCTTAGTATCTTTGCTCTCAAAGGGAAGATGCATTAATGACAAGGAAAAAACAGCTGCCTGCAAGCAGCCAAAAGAACAAGAAAATGGTGTGTTAATTACCAGCAGTGATAATGCGAGTCTGAAGAGCATTAAAAGCTGAAAAGCAAATTTGGATAAAAAAACAATAAATAAAAATAATGGTTTTCAATCTCTAATATCTGAAATCTGCAAACTGCTACTTCAGTCTTTATGGCTATTGTTACAGCTAAAGCAAAAGACTTAAATAAAGCTAATTTGTCAGCTGCTCAGAAGACACCAAATAGTTAATTGTGATGATGGGTTGACAAAATACTGCACTGAATTACAGTGAGAAAAAGGCAAAGAACATATTTTTAGTGTTAACCAAGACCTACTTCATATGTTAGAACAAAAGGATCACAAAAGCTCTTTACCTTCTGTTGCCACCATTACAATTCAACAACATTCCCAAAAGCTTTTCAGGGGCTAGAAGTAATAGATGACTGAATGAACTGAAAGTGAAACACAGGATACCACAAGGTTCCCTAAACTGTGACTATGTTATTTAATGGGAGCCATCTTCCTTCTTGAAATAGGGCATTTTTCAGGAACCACAAAGCATATCATGACCACAATGGTGTTCCTATAAAACAAAATCTTTAGTGAACACAAGCAATGTTCTGATAACTCCTCTGTCATGGCATGGAGGCTCCACTTACTCTGAACTAGTTAAGAGGTTAAAATTTACTTATTGCTACGTGAATTGAATGCAAGCCAGGGGTTGAGATATCTACGGCTAACTGGCCATGTTCACTTTTGCTAGACTTCCACTGTTTTGATGGAATCTGATAAATAAGGTGATCAGCCCTTTAAGCAAAACTAAGACACTCAAAAAAAAAAAAAAAAAAAAAAAAAAAAAAAAAAAAAAAAAAAAAAAAAAAAAAAAAAAAAAAAAAAAAAAGTTAAGAATTTAGAAAGTCTTCAATAAATCTTTTATTATTTCAGATTCTATTGCTACCAAGATCATTCCCAGTTGTTCCAAAGATCTGGTTCAAAATAAGACAGGACTAAATGTGTATGACTGCAGGGAAGAGAATGACATGCATTGAAAAATACCGCACATCAAGGGCTAAGTGAATTGATCTGCTTCAAGTTCCTCATTTCAAATACACTTCACGTATTTCATGGTTGTTACTTACATATAACTATATACAGAAAATTATTAAATACATTTCAAATTTAGTTCAAACAAACATCTCTTTCTGGTATCAAAAGTTATTTTAATTCAAGACCCAGGAAAATGAGACCATCTGCACAGTCTTCCCTTGGACACTAGTTTAGGTGTGTAAATTTAGTTCTAGATTTTGAATTTACTCTGAAACAGTAAAAGATCTCTAGATTTTTTCATGTAGGTTCATAAAATACTTGTGGATTTGAACTCACTTAAGATCAAGGACCCATAAGTTACCTATAAACCATACATATGAGCAGGAAACTACAATGGTAATTTCTACTGCTGGGTGAAGAGCTAGGGGGCTCAGCAAGCACTATTACATGAACAAAATGTCCCAGGATCCATTGAAATAACTTCAGAAAAAAAAATATCTCTGCTTGGTGTTTTCCATTAACAGACCTGGTAGAAAACATTTTATGAAAGAGGTGAGAATTCTTGTTCCCATTGCTCAGATGCTAATAGCAACAAGGCAATGTGCTGCCGTCAGCAGCAGGAACTCAGCCAGGCTATTAAGTGGTGTAGCTGGCAGGATTACTTACATTTTGCAGCTGGACTCGGCTTTGTGCCATACACTCTGACTTTGCCATCATGCTGGAAGCATTTAGGCTGTAGGTTTTCCTATTCTGTGTTTCTTTCAGCTGTTCATGAATTTGCTTTGTTTGTTTCCTGCAGAGAGAAATAAAATGATTATGTATTATATTAACAGGCTGAGCTAATAATTCACTAGTGTCTAATATCTCAATGCAGGGGTCATTTTCTGGCGAGGTGTAAGAAAGGAAAGAAAGAGCTCTTCTGTTTAAATTATCTTCTATTCTTAGATTACTAGCATAGCATGTTAGTAATTTTAGTGCAGAATTTTTTAAAATCATCTATTACATATTTAACAATAGCTTGCAAGTAGGCCTGAATATTAAAAAAGCATTTTGCTCAGATTTGGAACAAAGATTTCGGCAAATACTGCAGGTGTTAAACACTGTTGGCAATAAAAAGTGTCAATAATGAATCAAAGATTTCTTATAGAAGCTGCTAAGGCTTGACCTATAACCCAGTACCTTACGTAGATCAGCTTTTGCTTACATACTTAAACCTGAAAAAAACCCATCAGTATGGCATCTGAGGTTGTGTTTTTGAACAGACTATGATCCTCTATGTCAGAGTGAGGAATACCACTAGATTATTCACTTGCAATTTCCAAGAGATAAGTACATCATAAATACAGGTTTCCATTTCTGCCACACTATATTGGCAAACTGAGCATTAAACGTCTGTACATGATTGAGGATATGAGGCAGCAAACTTCATTTTACTTCTCTGTGCCACCAGCAGCCTTTGGACAGCAATCAGTGTGGAGCCAAATTTCAGAAGGAAGTAATTTCTGGAAAGTGTTGACAAAAAATAAGGGGCACATAGCCTTTCTATACTGAAATTTGAAATTTTAGGAAAGTAGCTTCAGAAAATTTTGGAAAATTTTAGGTGATTTTGCTGCTGAAAGCCTTGTGTCATGATCAAGTTTGATAGAATCTTACTTGACTCAGGCCAGTGAATTTGACACCGAATGAAGTATTAAAGCAATTTCAAGTTCTTTCAGTGCAATTTGTGCATAGTGTGGAAAAGGAGCCGACTAGAAGAGGAGCGCTGCTGGATCTTGTACTAACCAACAAGGAGGGCCTTGTTGAAGCAGTGGTGGTCAGTGGCAGCCTTGGCTGCAGTGATGACGAGTTGGTGGAGTTCAGGATCCAGTGTGGAAGGAACAGAATACCCAGTAGGATCAGAACCCTGGACTTCCACAGGGCAAACTTTGGTCTCCTCAATCAACTGTTAAGGGAAATCCCATGGGACAGGGTGCTAGAAGATAAAGGGGCTCAAGATAGCTGGTCAACATTCAAGGACCACTTCTTGCAAGCACAGGATCACAGCATCCCAATGGTTAGGAAATCTAGTAAGGGTGCTAGGAGACCTGCATGGTTAAAGAAGGAACTACTGGGCAAACTTAAGTGGAAAAGGAAAATCTACAGATCATGGAAGGAGGGGCTGGTCACGTGGGAGGAATATAGGACTGTTGTCAGAGGATGTAGGGAGGCAATTAGGAAAGCTAAGGCCTCCTTGGAACTTAACCTTGCAAGTCAGGTTAAGGATAATAGAAAGGGCTTTTTCAAATACATAGCTAGCAAAACTAGCAATAGAGGCAATATTGGCCCATTGAGGAATGAGGTGGGAGCCCTGGTGACAGAGGATATAAAGAAGGCAGAGGTGCTGAATGCCTTCTTTGCCTCTGTCTTCACTCCTGCAGGGTCTCCCTATGAGCCCCAGATTCATATAGCCCCAGAAGAAGTCAAGATAGAGGAAGAGTTTGACATGGTAGATGAGGATTGGGTTAGGGATCAGTTGAGTAATCTGGACATCCATAAATCAATGGGTCCAGATGGAATGCACCCAAGGGTGCTGAGGGAGCTGGCGGAGGTCATTGCTAGGCCACTCTCCATCATCTTCAGTAAGTCATGGGCAACAGGTGAGGTGCCTGAGGACTGGAGGATAGCAAATGTCACTCCAGTCTACAAGAAGGGCAAGAAGGAGGACCCGGGTAACTATAGACCGGTCAGCCTCACCTCCATCCCTGGAAAGGTGATGGAACAACTTGTTCTTGGCACTATCTCCAGGCACATCAAGGACATGGGGGTCATCAAGAGCAGTCAACATGGTTTTATCAAGGGTAAATCATGTTTGACTAACCTCATAGCCTTCTATGAGGAAATTACTAGGTGGATAGATGATGGTAGAGCGGTAGATGTGGTTTATCTTGATTTCAGTAAAGCATTTGACACCGTCTCCCACAGCATCCTTGTAGAAAAGTTGATCAGGTATGGGTTTGGTGATCAGGAAGTGAGGTGGATTAGGAACTGGTTGAAAGGAAGGAGTCAGAGAGTTGTAGTCAATGGGGCAGAATCTGGTTGGAGGTGTGTGACTAGTGGAGTCCCACAGGGGTCGGTACTGGGACCGGTGTTGTTCAACATCTTCATCAACGACCTGGATGAGGGTATAGAATGTACCCTCAGCAAGTTTGCTGATGACACTAAGCTGGGAGGAGTGGCTGACACACCAGAAGGCTGTGCTGCCATTCAGAGAGACTTAGATAGGTTGGAGAGTTGGGCGGGGAGAAACATGATGAAATTCAACAAGGGGAAGTGCAGAGTTTTACATTTGGGGAAGAACAACACCATGTCCCAGTACAGGTTGGGGGCTGAACTGCTGGAGAGTAGTGTAGGTGAAAGAGACCTGGGGGTCCTGGTAGACAGGAGGATGACCATGAGCCAGCAATGTGCCCTTGTGGCCAAGAAGGCCAATGGCATCCTGGGGTGCATTAGAAAGGGTGTGGTTAGTAGGTCAAGAGAGGTTCTCCTCCCCCTCTATTCTGCATTGGTGAGGCCACATCTGGAGTATTGTGTCCAGTTCTGGGCCCCTCAGTTCAAAAAGGACAGGGAACTGCTCGAAAGAGTCCAGCGCAGAGCTACGAAGATGATTAGGGGAGTGGAACATCTCCCTTATGAGGAAAGGCTGAGGGAGCTGGGTCTCTTTAGCTTGGAGAAAAGGAGACTGAGGGGTGACCTCATCAATGTTTACAAATATGTAAGGGGTGAGTGTCAGGGGGACGGAGTTAGGCTTTTCTCAGTGATGACCAGTGATAGGACAAGGGGTAATGGGTGTAAATTGGAGCATAGGAAGTTCAAGGTGAATACCTGCTCTGGGAGGGGAGGTTGGACTAGATGATCTTTTGAGGCCCCTTCCAAACCCTAGGATTCTATGATTCTATGATTCTATGAAGAGAACCCAGAGGAAAATTATTCAAGTGGTCAAGGGGGAAACTGTGAGAGCAGAAAATTTTCCTCAACATGAAAAAAGCAGTAAGAAGTACCAGTTCAGATATTAAATTTTAATAACAGTTTTTCATATATTAAAATAAATATATGGAATTTCGCTGCCTCTGAGTTCCTTAGTTCTGATTTGCACAAGTTGTTTGTTGTAATTGAACACTCTGTAAGCACCTGCTTAGAAGTAGGTATTTGTTAGAGCACATTACCTGAATACAGGTCATAAAATATAACAAATCTCGGACTCTGCAGGTCTCCTAGGCTTTCTATTTACATCCTATTTTAAAACAGCATGGCAAATGAAATGGCATGGTTTTACCTCGAAAGAATGCTACAAATATGAGTGGCATGTTTTTGAGTACTGTTACGAGCTCATGTTTAGTAAGATTTATAAATACAAGTGGGTGAAGAATTAATTTCTTAAGCACAAAATCTTAGTACACATTCAAAATTCTTTCTGAGCCAAAACAATTGGTAAAGTTAGTATCAGAATAACCTGAATGGATATGTCATCTGAAATATTATAGTGTAGAATTAATCAGTCAAGTGATCATGAAACATCTCTTAAAAAAAAAAAAAAAGTTGGTATCTAATAATTTTTGAAACCAATGAAATTGAGTAATCTAATTTGCAAAATGTAAAAACAAACTCTTCAGCTCCCCAGAAAACTCCAGAAGATATTAATAAAATTAACTCTAGAGTCTGTTTGAATATTTTCTGACCAGCTAAATTACACAGTGAGAAAATAAGCATATATGTCTGTGTCCTCCTGAAAAGCTAGCCATTTGTAGATTAGTCTCCATGAGGGTTATGGAACATCCAGTCTTTGTGATTACTGTTTTTGAGTGGAGACTTCATGTAAAGTCTAAAAAATTACAGTAAAACATGATCACAGCATCAGATTTTGGGAATCTCTCCTGTACATCCAGTGTTCTTAGAATTTAATCATGAAGAGACAAATTAAAAATTTTTGGAATTCTAATTTGAATTTATTTAGAAGAACTGGGTTTAAAATTGTTTCTACAACTACAAACACAAATAAGTACATTGGAATATTCAGCTTCACTGCTGCAATCTTTAACACTAGAATTGGGATTGCTGAAGATAATTTACTGAAAGAAACAATCTAATAACTAATTTCCTTTTATGTTCATGTAACCCATCATTACTATTAGGTTTATGCATATTCATTTTGTGAAGCTATAGGGTGCACAGTTATAGAACTAGGAATTATTAATAATTCAAAGTTACTTACCAATTCATATATTTCTTTTATAATACTTGTTTTCAAAACAAATGGGCCTCATGTGTTTTACTTTAGAGATATTGAGCAATAAAGTGTTGTTACTTCTGCAAGAAAAAAAGTCACTAGCCATTTATAAAAGTCTAAGCCATAAAGTGCAGCCCATTTCTGTGCTCTTCTGTCGTTAACACAACACTTTCTTGATTGCCCTACAAGGAGTAATTAGAAGGGTATAGTCTTTAATTATAGTTCAAAATGTCCTCACATTGAATTTATTTCAAAGCAGGACTTGTAACTTAATGGCATATAGGGAAGTGCATATTTCCAGCAGCAGGTATTAATTGTCAGACTAGGAAAGTTAGGGTCAGAGTCTTCATGGAAACTTTTTTTTCTTAAAGGGTGCACCCTTCAGAGTTTCTGTAGGTGTTAGCAATATAATAAATATTTGAAACATCAAATTAAGCCCAAGGATTGTCCCCCATGCAGGAGGAATAATTTGATAACTCTTAAGGTGTATGATCAAGAGACATCTGCCTGATGAAGAAGCTCCTCAAAATCTGCTGACTAAAAGCTAATATTTTAAAATCTGGTAAGGGTTGAGGCACTTTAGATTTGTTTGGTCTTACAACCCTTAAGACACTGGCCAATGTCACAGTTACAAGAATGTTTTACATGGCTTCTGTGCAAACACTCTTTCTTACTTTTGAACGGTTTGCCAGATGGAGCCCCAGCCAGGGAGTTAGGGACTGACTGGTATTTTACCATTACTGTGTTTCATATATTTGACAAGACCTCTCAACTGAACTGGAGGACCTAATTTTCTCATTACTATTCAAACTCCAGTTCCTAGAATCTGGCATAAGCACATTTCAAGTCTTCCCAGTATCTCTTAACTAACATAATACAGATAAAAACCCAAACCAAACACCCCCACCTCCTGCTGAGATATGAAGCACTATTGTCCTCTGAGTTAATCTTTAAAAAGCCTTATTTCTATTCATTATTTTTAGATACAGCTCTCCCCACCACCTCATCAAAATAATGGGATTCTGAAGGCTGTTCCAACCCAGCTCTTCACCACTCTATACAAGAGTGCAAAACCAAGAGGAGCACAGCTGAATAACAGAGGGACATTTTATTCACCTTATGCTCAGTTGCTGACTGGCTGTTCTTCCAACTGACCACTCCATTCTGCCTTTTCTTAATCTCTCCCTAATCAGCAAAAATCCCAAGCCTTTTCAAGAGGAAAAGGAACACATTATTCTCTCCTTCTTCTGCAGATCTAAAACGTGTGACATTTCTAATGCAGTAACAAAAAGGCTGTCCCTGCTCACAATTTATACTCAAACCAAGGAGTTTGCAGAGAACTGTCCTGCCACAGCATCCTCCCAGCTAGCATCAACCATCACACTCTAAATCCAAAGAACAACAAAACAAAATCCCTCAAGAAATTAGAAGAGGTAGGAGTGTTTAGATTAAATAAGAACCAACTCAAATCTTCACTCAAATAATGCACAAACTACTCCTGAAATGTGAAAAAAAAAAAAAGAGGGAAAAAACAAACAAACAAACTTGGTGATAGAAATGTCCCCAACAGAAATGCAATTTTTTAATCTCTTTTTTTTTTTTTTTAATATACACCAGTCCTTATCAGATTTCCAACCCAATAAAATAAATTCCAAAAAGGGGGATTCAGATAAGCATCCAAAATTTTAAATAGTGCAAACCTCCACATTTTTGATGCATGGCCACCATGATTAACCTCATGCAGGTACTGTTTATATTGATATGTGTTCTCCCGTTAGCTCCAGATGGAACAGGAATGTGGGATGACAACCATACAGAACAGATTTATAGATACAGTGGCACTGACAAGCATGTCACAAAGTTGCTATGAGGTTTTTGCAACTCAGTTTACACACATAACAATAAAGATAATAAAAAAATTATCAGTTGGGAAGATAAAGAATAGAGTGGAAGGTGAGTATTTCACTTGAAAATAGTTTAGTACAGATGATTCCACCATACATGGATAGTTCATAGAATCATAGAATGGTTTGAGTTGGAAGGGAGCTTGAAAATAATCTAGTTCCAACCCCCCTACATGGGCACGGACACCTCCCACTAGACCAGGTTGCTCAAAGCCCTGTCCAGCCTGGCCTTGAACACCTCCAGGGAGGGGGCAATGTGGTCAATGTGTCTGTGCATTACAGACACTCATTATGCAACTACATCAGCAGTTTACAATTACTAGCTACAGGTTAGAGATACCTGCAGTGAACTTCTCTCTTTCTGTATGTCTGTCTCAGCATATGAAAATATAAGGGGCATTCAAGGATATAACATGGAATGCAAAAAAGGACATGGTATGTTTAAACTTTGTTCTTCAAGAGAGGAAAGCATTATTGCACTGAGAGCGAAAGACATAAAATTATTGTCAAAAAAGGAAAGATACAATCTCTCCTTTCCTGCTATCTGCAAAGAGAAGCAAGAAGACATTACTCCTGTGTACTTTTCTTATTTTTCGGACTTGATAGCATAGCCATAGAGAAGTGCTCTGGTCTGTCCAGAGATAACAACAGCTTCAAAAGGAAGGGAGAAACTGAAGAATTTTAAAGCCATAAAAAGGACAGAAGCTAAGTAACAAACACGTAGGACAAAGGCTCTTACTTTGTTTTGAAGTAGAACGCTGCACAAAGCATGCCCACTACGACTATGCCAAAGACGATACAGGAAATAGACAGCACCTGGCGCTGGTACACCTCTTCGCTCTCTGTGAACAGCAAAATGGAGAATTATGAAAGCATCAGAAAACAATACTTGCAAAAACTGGATTTCAGCACATCACGGCTTCACTAATGATGGACAGATACAAGAGATTTGGAGGTCTGGATTGGCCAGTTCCTCAAGACAATGGATGCTTCTCTGAACCTCTCATCTAGATAAGGTTCACAGAGTTGTGGCCTCCTAGGAAAGTTGTAGAAAATGTTTCCAATGCAGACTGAGGGATACATAACATAGTTAATATTTCCTCTGCCTTGCATGCCCTTTTTTTTTTTTTTTTTTTTGTGTGTGTGTGTGTGTGGGTTTTTTCCAGCTTTTTTGCTGTTAATAGGGTAAAGAACCATACAACCATGGTGTTTTTCTGGCTTAAGGCCAGACCATCAGAGCTCTCATAGGGTCCCACAAGATTCATAGTTTCCGTTACACAAAAAATGTATTGAATGTGATTACAATGCCTTACTCCTGTGTAATTCCCTGTGTTTAAAGCTTACATACAACATACACAATAAAAGATTAAGTCAATCAACTTGGAAGGAACCCAATGACTCCTATGCTACAATGTACCAGATACTGCTTTCATGGGAGTCTATTTTTGAAAAAAGAAAATTCCTTCATTAATCTCCCAATCTTCTAATTAATTTTAAAAGAGGAACAGAATGGAAGTAAAAAAAAAAAAGATAAAAAAGAAAAAAAAAGAAAACAAGAGCAAATACTCATTCATGATCACAAATAGAAGCTAATAAGCAACTGAAGTTTCACACACTGAAATCATCAGCAATTCCTTAACTGTTAGGTTTTATCTTTACTATTTCAATTACTTCTCTAGTCCAATGTGCTAATGTGCTACTTTTTTATAATCAGTTTCTCCAAACATGTAACAGAGAAACCAGTATTTTAATTAATATATTTTAGGTAGAAAACCAACATATAGTATTATCAAAGCACAGTACACACACTGTACACCAACAAAGCCACATTTCCTTTTTCAGCTGGAGATCTTCAGTGCAGACTCCCCACTGATGTGAATACCAGACACGTACATCAAGGAGGTGACAGTAACTCCAAGTTTCAGGTTTACAATACTCAGGTTCATAAGAAGAAAATAATGTATGACAACATGAAGGTCAATCTAAGCAAATTTTTTAAAAAATCCACACCTAATTGGAACATCAGTCAAATACTATCTGGTGTTAAAATGACTGAAGACTACCTACAGCATACCAATCAGTTCTAATTATTAATTTCTCAAGAATATGCTAAGTATTTGGCATCATAAATACAGTAATTTGTCTCTTACAAAAGTCCCAGTCTCTTTCACTATTTCAAATGTAATTACAAGTACCAAATCTTTATTTCTTCATTACTTCTTTACTTGCTTACTCAAATGCCACAATGATTCAGAAGCCATTTCTAAGATGCAAAATACCTTCAGCTCCTGTTGACTTTTTTCCCCTCATTTAATTTTGAAACTATAAAAGTGTACTGTGAAATAGTCTTAAAAATAAAAAGAAGCAAAAATAACTTACAGGTCTAAAATATATCAGGAAAGGCTGTAATTCAATAGAAAACCTTGATACTATTGCAGTAAAACTGTACAGCTTTAGGCCCATTCCTCATTGGTATGTATAAATTTTGGATCTAGACAGTAAATCCTTATTGGCAATGAGCTAAATGTCTGGGGTTTTAATTTCATCTTTTGTTTGTTTAATTTAATTTATTTGTTTTTACTAGCCTGTGTGAACTCAATTATCCACCTTCCATTTCCACTGCAGTACACAAAGGACTAATCTTACACATTTTGAATTCTTATGTTGAGGTGGATCACACTGCAAACAGATAAAGTATCATTCACTTCAGCAACTGCTAAACTATCCTGTCTGAATATCAGTTTCAGCACCTATTGCCTAAGACCAAACACATGTATACTTATGAACTGTAATTTCACTCAAGTATTGCCTATAATGAAAAAAAAATCTATTTATAAAAATAAACTTATTTAAGTTATGTGCACAAACAAGCTTATTTTTTTTCTTTTCTTTTAAACAAAGTCCTCAGTAAATACTTTCTTTTTCTCTTGTTACCTTTTTGAAAAATGGTGAGTTTAATGCAACTATGGTCTTCTGGCAGTCCTGAACAGCTGTCACTGTCTTAGTAAAATGCTTTAGGACATGCCTTTCCAAGATAATGGCACTTCAGAGACCAGACAATATTATCTTGCTCCAACAACTATGTGAAGATTTAAGTCTTCTGTGTAGTCAGATTAATCCCTGTCACCAGCTTTCAACAAATGTTGATCAATGCTCTCTTTCCTTTTTGTTTTGTACAGTGCACATTAAAGAGCTACTTATTGATTAACTTTACTCCAGTTCTTGGACACCTTTCTTCATTTTGTTATATCCTTTAAATCTTTATTTATGTATTTTACTCCACAATTATTTGTCTCCACATCTTAAATATAATCAGTTAAGGATTTTTTTCCATTCTCTAATCTTCCACATTGGCTTTTTAAAAAAAAAAAACCCTACCTTCTTACTGATAGCAATGTAATCTGTCTCTCTCTGCAAACTTTGAAGGTCTCTCATTGTTGCCTCCATTTAACCTCTCTAGTGCTCTACACACACACTACACAGCTGAGATCCTCTATGGCCAAGGTTTAGTGAAAAGGGCCTCTACATAATGCAGAAGGGTACAGCTGATTACTGCAAAGCACTTTTGGTCTCACAAAACAGAAAGCTGTAGAAATTCAGCATGTAGAAAAGAGAAGAACTGAAACTTCTCTCTCCTTAGTTGAAGATGTGCATCAAAACAATCTTGGCAAGGTAATCTAAAGTGTGACTGAAGTTATGATAAGCCTCTATCACATATATTCGTATATTCCTTGTAAAAAAAACCACAACAAAACCAAAACAAAACCCACCAATAACAAACAAAAAAACCCCACCTTAATTACATTCTATTAAAATGAATATTCTAGGGAGAGAATTCCTCATTTAATGAGCAGCCAAGAAAATATTTCAGCTAAAAACAAAAATATAAACTGACATGGATATCCTTGGATAATCCATCTGAGGAGTTCAGACTACTAAACACAAATTCCACCAAACATTCATATTATACAAAATAGATAATCTATACCACAGAAATACAACCATATACCAGAGTGCTGAAAAACAACATTGTAAACAATGTAGATGCAGACAATTTTTTTTCATAACAATTACTTAAAGAAAAGTCTTCCCAGAACATAAAGACAGGACAAATTCTCATGAGAGACAAGGCATGTTGAAAGGCTGGGTTCCCCCCCCACAGACAAGCCCCATTCACTGCATGCGCTGTCACACATCTAGTCCATTTTTAGTTTTACTATTAATACTTTCTTATTTTCATTCCTACTACAAAACTGTTTCTCTCCCTTCATCTCTGTCATATCACCTCACTGAAGGTAAACTTCTCATGCCTTTAGTGCTGCTTCTCCTAAGCTTATCTCACATATTTACTACCATTGTGAAACACAAAATGGTTACTGGTGATCCATCGAAGCAGTTTCCTCCAGCATTTATATCACAGTCAAACTTCATTTGTCTGTTACAAACAAAAAACTACAGGCCATATCCCATATACTAAGGTTTTGGTAGTTTAAATTCCCTTGCTCTTTAAAATTTACTCTTAAAGGTTGTCATCTGCCTGCTTTACGCATATGGAAAGACTCAGTGAAGCATACAGATAAGTCTTTAGAGGATTAAAAAGTATAGGATAGTCACATGATTGTTACTTCTAAAGCATAAGGTAGTTTTGTTGTGTAAATAAGCTAAAACTTGTCTCCTCCTTTGACATTATTATAAAAGAAAGAACACTGGTACAATGTTCTTCAGAAACAACCACATATGTTTCTAACCACATTACTGAGAAAACCTAATTTAGTTAATTAAAACAGATCCTGGTTCTATTGCGTATTTTCTGAATTCATCAACATATCTTTGAAAGGTATTTCAGCTATGAAGAACAGTATTGTGCATGTGGCCTAAGCAAAATGATAACTAAACAAATATAGTAGCTTTTCCCTTTGTGGTGCTTATTTCAATGGCTTTTGAATAAAACTTCAATATGGTCACAAGCATCACCAAGAATAATTATTGAATATTCAAACTGAGCCAGCTGAGAAATTATGACATTTAGCATGCAAATGCATTACTTAAGCTTTGCTCTGTAAAGAACAGAAGTACAGAATAATTTTTTGGCTTAAGTTTTTACTTCCCAGCCCAAAAAGTACCACAAACCCAAAGTGCATTCAGCACTACCCTTCCCTAAATGGACCCACTCTGCATTGTTGCAAGTAACAGCATGCTATGGAATAAATATGGAAGGCCCAGTATCTTGCCATTGGCATGCATGACAAACAATTGCTTTCCAGATGCTTTCTCCCATTGAGAAATGCTAAAAGAAACTTTATACAAATAATTCTATAAATTATTTTTTTCAAATTTGGAGATGTTCTTCAGCTTTTTGTCAATCCCTGCTATTTATGAGTTAACAGAGAAAGGGTGGCATAATGGATAAAAGATAAAAAACAGCTTTTCCTCAAATTACATGACAGCACAAAGCCAGGGTTTCTTTTTGTCCCTATGCAAAAAACTAAGCCATGCAGGCGCAGCAAATTAGGCATTGTCACCTCTGCTGTAACCTCACTGCCACACACTTTTTTCATTTCCCTTCATTCCCTGCCTGTGTATTTTCTGACATACCTCTTTGCATCCCATCTCATACTGGAATATCCTGCAGAGCAAGAATCTTGCTATTGAGGTGAACCTCAAGAGTACCATTTGCCACTTAGGCTTTTATTTGTATCCCGAGTCCTCAAAGCCCCATAAACAACAGAGAAAGGCCACATGGAAACACCACACAAAACATCAAGGTTTCCAATAAAATATGGATTCCCAGAAGTTAAAAGGCAAGACAGTAGTTCAAGCAGATTTCTCAATACACTTAAAT